AACCCAGGGCCTTGAGCATGCAAGGCAAGAGCTCTACCACTGAGCCACCTTCCCAGCCCCCCGCACTTGCTTTTAGCACAGTACTACACATACCCACACACACAAACACCTGAATAATCAAAAAATGAAAACAAAACATTTGAAGGAACAAAAGAAGTTTGGGAAGCTAGAAGCCAGTGGCTCATACCTGTAATCCTAGCTATTCAGGAATATAAGATCTCAGGATCTTAGTTCAAAGCCAGCATGGGGAGGAAAGTATATGACATTCTTACCTCAAATTAAACACCAAAAAGCTTGAAGTGGAGCTGTGTGTGGTAGAGTGCTAGCTTTAAGCAAAAAAGCTAAAGGACAGATCCCAACTCGAGTTCAAGCTCCATTACTGGCACACGCACATGTGTGCACGTGTGCGCATGTGCACACACAAGCTTTATAATGGTATAATTCACATACATAAAATTCAATGGCATTAAAGCATATACTTTAACGACTTTTTGTAAATTTTATTTATTTTTGGTGGTGATGTGGTTTGAACTCAGGTCTTGGTAAGCTACGTAAGCCTTCTAACTTTGGTTGGAGGTAAATCCCCAACTCCATAATTCTATTTTATAATTTTTTTTTGGTCAGTCCTGGGGCTTGAACTCTGGGCCTGGGCACTGTCCCTGAGCTCTGCAGCTCAAGGCAAGCACTCTATCACTTGAGCCACAGCACTACTTCTAGGTTTCTGGTGGTTAATTGGACATATGAGTCTCATAGACTTTCCTGCCTGGGCTGGCTTTGAACTATGACCCTCAGATCTCAAAGAGGGGTGTGAGCCAACAGCACTTGGTTATATAAACTTTTAATACCATCAAAATCTCTAATGTCAAACTGCAACCAGTGCCTGTACTATTCCCAGTCTCAAGCAACTAGATTTGTCTTTAATGATTGTCTTTCATATTAATCCACATTAATTCTACAAAATGTAATTATACAGTTTCATCTTTTATATCTGGTTGTTCTTATTCTTCATTAGTATTTTTTAAGGTTCATGCTGCTGGAGCATGTTATTTAACAGTCTGTTCCTTTTAATAGTATTCCAGTACATGGAATAACCCTGTTGCTTACCCACTAGCTGATAGAAATTTAGATTGCTTCCATTTTTTGCCTATGGTGAATAATGATGCTATGGTCATTCTCCAACAAGTCTCAGGGTAGAAATATGTTGCTCTTGATAGATTCTCAGGAAATCGCTGACTCATTCACTAAATTTATGCAAAATATTTTCGGAGGGCCATACTGGTGCTTAAGCTCAGGAACTCAGACTTACTAAGTAGTAATTTACAGTATGAAGCCCATTATTGAATTAGTTTTTTGTTTTTGTTTTGTTTTTCCCTTTTGGGGCAGTACTGGAGATTGAATTCAGGGCCTTGTGCTTGCTAGGCTAGTGGCCTATTATTGAGCAATATCTCCAGTCTCTTTTTGCATTGGTTACTTTTGAGCTAGAGTCTCCTTTATGCCTGGGCTGCCCTTGGCTGTGATTCTTCTACTTCTGTGACCCTATGCCACTGGTCCAGCTATTGTGCTTCCTCTCTATCTAGGATAACAGGTACTCAAAGCTATTGAGAGAGATTGGCTTCATATGTGATCCCTCCATTTCCATCTTGCAAGTAATTAGGACTACAGGCTTGAGACATTGTTGCTTGGCTGCACTGGTTATTGTTGATAGGATCTCCCTTACAGCTTTGCCAAGCATCTGGAACATGATCCTATTTTTGACTTTCTATGATAGCTGGGATTATAAATATGTAAACTGTACAGAGCTACTGGTTAAGAAGAAGTCATGTGTTTGCCTAGGCTAGCCTTAGACTATGAAACTCCCAATCTCAGCCTCCCAAATAGTTAAGATTACAGGTGTGAGCCACTGGCACCTGGCTCAATCTATACTTTCTGACTAAAGTGTTTAACGCATTTACAACTGGTTGGACATGACTATTTGTGGTCTATGTCATATCATTTTTAAAATATGTCATATCTTTTCTAAGTCTATTCCCCTTTTACTTTTATTCTTTAGATATCTTTCAATGTGCCATTATAGTTTAAAAAAAACATATATTTCCTCCAGTTATTTTTTAAGTAGGTTCTCTAGTAATCACAACATGTATCTTAACTAGTCACAATCTATTCTACTTCAGAATACTACTAATTTACTTTCTGTAAAAAACTGCAATAGAACTCTACTTCTCTTTTCCTTTTTGTTATTATTACACATTACATACTTATCTCATAACTCAAAATTACAGTTTTATCTTATGCAAATGCCTTTAATTCAGTTAAGATAATAAAAGAACAATTTATTTATAGTCTTTTATATTTACTTCTATAATTAACATTTACAATGTTTTTTCTTCAAGTCACCATCTGGTATCCTATCCTTTCGGTTTGAAAAATCTTTAATAGTACGTGTAAGGAAGATCTGCTAACAACAAAGTGTCTCAGAGCTTGCTTATTTGGAATATTTTTTATTTTACCTCCATTTTTTTCCCTTTTGTCAATGGGGATGGAACTCAGGGCTTCATATTAGGCAAGTGCTCTACCATCAAGTTATTCCCTGGCTTGTCTCAATTAGGATTCTCCAGAGAAAGAAAACCAGTTTGAGATACAAAAAACTGGAGGCATGGCTCAGGTGTAAAATGCCAACTGTGGCTGAAAATTATGGGAGTTGGGCATGTAACTCAGATGTAGAATATTTGTTTGGCATGTATAAGGCCCTGAGTACCATCCATAGCACCAAAAGAAAAAGAAACAGCCAGAGGCCAGCTCAAGGCTGTAATCCTAGCTATCCAGGAGATATAAGGATCAAGTTTCAAAGCCAGTCTGGGCAGGTAAGTTTGTGAGATTCTTATCTCCAATGAACCACCAGAAAACCAGTGGTGCTGTGGCTGAAGTGTTAAAGAGCTACCCTTGTGCAACAAGGTCAGGGGGAGAGCCTATACCCTGAGGACAAGTTAAAAAGAAAAAAGGAAAAAGAAAAAAATAGGGTTCGGAAGGTGGCTCAGTGGTAGAGTGCTTGCTTCGGCATGCATAAGGGACTGGGTTCGATTCCTCAGCACCACTTAAACAGAAAAGGCTGAAAGTAGAGCTGTGGCTCAAGTGGTAGAGCACTAGCCTTGAGCTGAAATGCTGAGGGACAGCGCCCAGGCCCAGAGTTCTGGACTCACGATTGGACCCAAAAAAAAAAGCTCAGGGACGATGCCCAATCCAGGCCCTGAGTTCAAGCCACAGGACCAGCACCAAAACAAACTAAAAGCAAAAGCAAAGAAAAATAATAATCTAATAATTATAGACAACTATATACAAATGAGAATTAGTAATATAACTGCAACTTTTAAAATATACAAAAATATACCAAAAAACAAATCAACAACACCCTCTTCCTAACCAAAAAAGAGGAGTATTCAGACCTACCTTAACAGGAGTTCTTTGGGAAGTTTTTTATTGATCACAGCTTCATCACTATTTGAGAACATCTGTAAACACAAAGCCATTGTGTCAAAAAGAAGCCAGGCACTGGTGGCTCATGCCTATAATCCTAGCTACTCAAGAGGCTAGCCCCGGCAGGGAAGTCCATGACACTCTCATCTCCAATAAACACTAAAAAACCGGAAATGGCACTGTGGCATAAGCGGTAGAGCGCTCACCTTGAGCTGAAGAGTACAAGGACAGTGCCCAAGCCCAGAGGTTCAAGCCCCATAACCGACCAAAAAAAAAATTTTTTTTAAATTACTTAGAATGTTCAACTCAAGAGAAGAAATTTTCTAAGGCAAAAACTATATGGTGTTACCCTATCACCTTTATCGATAAGGAAACTGAGCTACAAAAGGTTTACTACTCAAAATCATATTACTAAGGATTATGTTAAAATAAAATTAAGAAGCTAGGCATGATGGTGCATGCCTATAACCTTAGCACTCAGAAGTATAAGGCAGAAAAATCATGAATTCAAGGCTAGCCTTAGCTATAGAATAAGACTTTGTGGAGAGCAAGAAGAAAGAAAAAAAGGAGAGAAGAAAAGGAAGGGAATACTAAGATGAGTTGAGTCTATAAACTTGGCTTATATTTTATTTTTCCAGAAGGTGTTCAGAAGCTGCAACAGCATAATTATTTTGTGTCTTATATATCATGCAGAAAAATAAAGCTTCCATTAGGTTATTTATTAAAGTCTGTTTTCTTCTAGGGATAGAGATCACCCAGGACCTTGAACATGCTAGACAAAATGCCAGGTCCCAGTGGCTCACGCCTATAATCCTAGCTACTCAGGAGGCTGAGATCTGAGGATTGAGGTTCACAGCCAGCCGGGGCAGAAAACTCTGTGAGACTTATCTCCAATTAACCACTAGAAAACCGAAGTGGCACTGTGGCTCAAGTGATAGAGTGCTCACTTTGAGCTGAAGAGCTAAAGGGACAGCACCCAAGCCCAGAGTTCAAGCCCCATGACCGAAACCCCCCCCAAAAAAATAGCTCTACTAAGAGTCCACCTCTGCCCCTGAGCTTTTTTACTCAATGCTAGCACTCTACCACTTAAGCCACAGCTCCACTTCAGGCATATTGGTGGTTAACTGGAGTCTCACAAACTTTTCTGCTTAGGATGGCTTCCAATCATGATCATCAGATCTGGTAGCTATCATACATAATCCTAGAACACAGAGATCTGAGGATTGTGGTTTAAGGCCATCTGGAACAGTCTATTCTGTGAGACTTTTATCTCCTGTTAACCCCAAGAAAGCCAAAACTGTGGCTCAAGTGGTAGAATACAGGCCTTGAGCAAAAAAGCTATGGGATACCACCCAGGCCTAGAATTCAAGCCCTAATACCTGTACAAAGGAAGTAATGGGGCTAGGTGCCAATAGCTCACACCTCTAATCCTAGCTCTGAGGAGGTTGAGAGCTGAGGACCACAGTTCAAAGGCAGCCCCAACAGAAAAGTCTGTAAGACTTTTTATCTCCAATTAATTACCAAAAACCAAGAAGTAGAGCTGTAGCTCAAGTGTAGAGCACTAGCCTTGAACTCAAGAGTGAATGTGCCCAGACACTGAGTTAAAGTCTCAGGACTGGCACGGGGGGGGGGCAGGGAAGGGAGTTAGGGGGGGTGGCTTAGTGGTAGAGTGCTAGCCTTGAGCAAAAGAAGATCAGGGACAGTGTTTAGACCCGGAGTTCAAGCCCCAGGACTTGCAAAAAAAAAAAAAAGCCAATTACCAGTGGCTCAGACATGTAATCTTAGCTACCCAGGAGGCTGAGGTTGGAGAATTGAGGTAGGAAGTGAACCCTGGCAGAAAAGTCTACAGATTCTATCTCCAAAAGCTTGGCTGGAGGCATGATTCCATGCAGAAAACAAGAAACACTTGCTCTATGGTGACCCCTGCTGCTCAAAGTTACCAGTCATCTAATTATTCTTCAAGCTTTATAGACAGACCAGAATTAATTTTTAGGTAGCATATAGCTATGGAGAGAGAAGGCTATATTATCCTGTAAGCTTTGTATGTTATGGTAACTTAGTCCTGGCCAATGAGATAAAAAGCAAAAAGTGATGTGTGTGATTTTTAGGAGTATCCTTAGGAGAGGATGTGCCACTTCTTTCCTTTTCAATTCTGTCCTCAGAATATTTTAAAACAACTGGTACTGTATCTTGAGTCATGAAACTGAAGACCAGTTTTAAAGAAAAGCAGGAAGCCAGAAAGTTTCCAAATTACTGCAGAACACAGCTTAAAACTGTCAACATCCTCACATTATAGGAGAAAATAAATTTCTATTATTTTAAAGCCAATTTTGGTTTCTGCCTCTGACACATACAGCTAAACTTTTTTTGGGTCGTGGGGCCTGAACTCTGGGCCTAGGCGCTGTCCCTCAGCTCTTCAGCTCAAGGCTAGCGCTCTACCACTTGAGCCACAGTGCCACTTCCGGCTTTTTTTTCTTTTTCTGCTTATGTGGTGCTGAGGAATTGAACCCAGGGCCTCACGCATGCAGGGCAAGCGCTCTCTACCACTGAAGACACCTTCCCACCCCACTAGTGTATTTTATTTTGATCTTAAAATTATCTTTCACAAGATGAAAAATTATGAGGATTGGTTACACAATATTGTGAATCTGCTTAACAATACTGTGTAATACTTAAAAAGTTAAGATGGTACATCTGTCAGAAGTATTTTATCATCAAAAATTTAAAGGTGCTTTCACATTTAATAGCTGTAAAATATTGTTATATCTTATAGTTAAAAAAATCAAGGGCTGGGAAGTTGGCTCAGTGGTGGAGTGCTTGCCTAGCATGCATGTCCTGGGTTCCATTGCTCAGTACCACATACACAGAAAAAGACAGAAGTAGATTGTTAGCCTTTAGCAAAAGAAGTTCAGGGACAGTGCCCAGACCCTGAGTTCAAGTCCCAGGACTGGCAAAAAAAAAAAAAAAATCAAAAGCAAGGTGGTGTGTCAGTGGCTCATGCCTATAATCCTAGCTACTCAGGAGGCTGAGATCTGAGGATCACAGTTCAAAGCTGGCCCTAGCAGGAAAATCCATGAGACTCTTTTTTTTTTTTGGTCGGCCGTGGGGCTTGAACTCTGGGCCTGGGCGCTGTCCCTCAGCTCTTCAGCTCAAGGCGAGCGCTCTAACACTTGAGCGACAGTGCCACTTCTGGTTTTTCTGGTGGTTATTGGAGACAGGTGTGAGCCACCAGCGCCAAGCTTCCATGAGACTCTTATCTTCAATTAACCACCAGAAAACCAGAAGTGGGCTGTGGCTCAAAAGGTAAGGCACTAGCTTTGAACTAAAGAGCTCAGGAACAGTGGCCAGGCCCAGAGTTCAAGCCCCACAACCAACAAAATAAAAAAAAAATAATAAAAGAATAAATGGGGCTGGGAATGCAGATTAGTGGTAGAGTGCTTCTTGCCTAGAATGCATGAAGCCCTGGATTCCATGCCTCAGTACCACATAAACAGAGAAGGCTGGAAGTGGTGCTATGGCTCAAGTGGTGGAGTGCTGGCCTTGAGCAAAAGTGCCCGGGCCTGGACTTCAAGTCCCAGGGCTGGCAAAAAAAAAAAAGCATTTTATGGTATCTCTGATGATATATAGTGAACAAAACCAATGACAGGTACTCCACACAGCAATCTCAATCTCTTATGAGCCCAAAATCTCAAAACCAGCTTAGATGATATGCTTCACATCAGAAACAGCGAAAAAGGACTTTGTTTAGATGACCATAATACAAATGGAAACCACAGTGCCTAGAGATTGCTGAATCAATAGATGTTATTTATGCCCTAATCCCTTTTTTGTTTGTAAATTCCCAGTAGACTTCTATGGCCTTTTTACTTTATATTTCTTTCTTTTTTTTGTCGTGGGGCTTGAACTCTGGGCTTGGGCGCTATCCCTCAGCTCTTCAGCGAGTGCTCTACCACTTGAGCCACAGCACCACTTCTGGTTTTCTAGCAGTTTATTGGAGATAAGAGTCTCACCAACTTTCCCGCCTGGGTTGGCTTTGAACCATGATCCTCAGATCTCAGCCTCCTGAGTAGCTAGGATTATAGGCGTGAACCACTGACACACCACCTTGCTTTTGATTTTTTTTTTTTTTGCCAGTCCTGAGTGGCGTGAGCCACTGGTGCCCTGATTTACTTTATATTTCTATGGTAGTTACCTACGAAATACATAAAAACAAAAACAAAATGCTACAATAAAAATAATTTATTACCCATTTAATCTGTGAATTACAAAAGAAAAAATATAACAAAAGGTTGACTATTATTATACAACAACACAATAAAAAGAAATGATGAGCTGGTGGATTGGCTCAAGTAGTAGAACACTTGCTTTTATTTATTTATTTATTTTTGGGTCCGGTCATGGGGCCTGAACTCTGGGTCTGGGCACGGTCCCTCAGCTCTTCAGCTCAAGGCTAGCGCTCTACCACTTGAGCCACAGCGCCACTTC